TCAGCGCCACGCCGGCGCTGGGCCAATGCTGCGGAGACCCCGCAGCCACTTTGCTCAACTGGTGTCTTAGGGCATTACAGGGGTTCCATAATTCTTATAAGTATTGAAGATGCGTTTTGTTTAGTGTTCCTCGTGTGATCTTGGCATTTGGGATTTATAGGGTAGGGCTTGGAATTCAAAAGATTGTGCTCCAAGCCCGTTGAAGCAAGATCGTTGAGTGGTTCGCCGGCTGTATCATCGCCGTACCCCGTTGATCACGTCGTTAGTTAGTCGTTAGTGCAGGAGGCATCTAAACCCGTATATATAAACAGGAGGCCAGCAAGACCGTGAAAACCAGATGCTACTCGGGTTGCTCGGTTTTCTTCCTTTAGGTCTCGATCCAGCAGGAGACAGCGGAGCAGGCAGCTCCACCTTCGAAGCGCCTGACGGTTGCCGCAACGGGCCGCATGACATCTGCGAAATCGCCACCTCAAGCTCCGACGAAGAAGAAGCAGAGGACAAGCGAAGATATCATCTCACGGGCCACATGGCCAGCCAGGATCTCGTCCCCGTCCCTCACTCTCTGCACCAAAAGAGTCGCCTCAAAGAAGGCAAGGCGGCAGGTAGAGGATGAACAGGAGAAGCATTAAAGCCCACGCCGAAGCTTCGGATGCCGGGCAAACCAGATCCTTCTTCAAACGATAGGGTTTAGGGTTTAGGGTTCAAGGTTTAGAGTTTAGGGTTTAGGGATATCTGTTCTATCACTATAGTTTCCAGATCCGAGCACATCCTAGCATGTATAGCTCCCAAGCTCTCTGAAACTTTCTGCTTCAATCCCAAACCTCTTTCCCAGATCACAGAATCAAACAGCAGACAAAAAGTAGGCCCGAAACCTTATAGCCCTTAAACCCCTAAACCCTAAAACCCTTAACGGCCGACCGGGGAGACTCAACCTGGCAGTTTCTGAATCTGCGGTCCCTTTCCGAGCGGCCCTGGTAGTAAGGATCCTGCTTTTTGTGTTACACATGGGTTTATACTCGGATCACCCATTTTCTGGACTCCCATGTTAAGATCCTGGTGTTGAGGATGTACAGGTTTAGGGTTACGGGTTTCGTCATGAGCACCGGAAACCATAATCGTTAGCCCCCAAAGCGCTTACTTACAGCCCCAATCCTCAACCTTAGACTCCACTTTGTAGCCTAATCAACAGCTCCAAACCACAAAGATAGCACAATATATTCACATAAGGTAGTTACATGGCAGTTCTTAGTGTTATTTCCGGTACGTCGTCAGTCAGCGCGCCTTGGGCTGGGAACCCCGAAAAGCCCTTCATAGCTAGATAGCTAAAGCCCTGGAAAACACGCATATAACATCCGTACTAAACAGCACAAAACCTCATCAAAGCATTCTAAACCCCTTACCGGAACCTTGAAACACGGTAGATTTCCTGTAAATACCTTGCTGGAGCCCTTCAAGACTTCAGATTGGTAGAAGCCCCAAAACCTCAATCCTCCGACCCTCTAAACCCTGAGCCGTAAACTCTAAACCCTAAATCGCTAAGGGTCCATGTGCCCAAAGAGTATGTACTTTCGCTTCAAAGTTGCACCAAAATAGGTACGTTGGGGACAAAGTATACTATTTGGGTGCATGGACGCTTGGGGAACCCTGAACCATCAACTCCAAACCCTTGCTATTGTCTACGTACATCCGAACCCTCAAGAATTTTAATCTTCGCGTCCGAACCCTCAAAAACACTAACAGCCTGAACGCTAAACTCCTAAACACCCAACTCTTAAGCCCTTCACCCTGCACTTTCTGAACCCCTAAATCCTAAGCCCTAAACCCTAAACCCCTAAATCCTAAGCCCTGAACTCTAAACCGAAGGCCCCAACAGGGCTATCCGTCCCTTCCTTTCGGCCCGGGGAGCTCTCCGGCCAACTGGGCCACTTTGCTGCAAATCTCCTTTGCTTTAGGGCTTTCCTTTTGGGGGGTAATGTAGGGTTCCATAGTAGGGTTCCCTTTAAGACCTTAGGGTTCAGGGTCTATTTAGAATCTCGTGCGACCTAGTAACTAGGGCTTAGGGTTCCTTTTGTAAGGGTACTTTAAGGTTCTGGTTTTCTTTAAGGGCTCAGGGTTTCTGTCTAGGGGTACTATAAGGTTCCACTATTGGGTTCCTTTTAAGGGTCTACTTAAGGCCTAGGGTCTACTTAAAGGCTCATGGGGCTTAGTAACTTGGGTTATACATAAGGTAACTATACGCATAATTAGTTACAGCCGCAATTAATGTACTTGTGACTGTACTTGCTAAGTCCCATGACCCTCCAAGCAGGGTTTTGCAATAGGGTTCGAGAATCCCAGAGACTCCAAACCCCTTGATGACATGCCTTGAATTCCAATACGAACCCCCATAAAATTCAAGGCGCATTCCGTATCTAAGAGTGTTTTGAGTCTCTAGGATGGTCTTTAAATCAGGATCGCACGAAGGTTCTTTAAGGTGTCTTTGGTAGGGTTTGGGGGGTTGAGGGTTTCATGAGGTTAGGGGTCTCGGGCTTCAGGGTTCAAAGTTTTGGGGTTTAGAATTTAGGTGTTTCGGGGCTTTTAAGGTTCAGCGTGTTAGTGTATCCAGAGGTCTTCAGGGTAGGATTTGGTTGTAGGGGTGTTGGCTTGGGGTCTAGGGGGCTTACTGGTTGAGCATTTCAGAGTTCAGGGTATTGAAGGGATGTGAGGTTTCGAGTGTAAAGCTTTCACGTTTTTTTTTTTTTTGGCGGGGTGGGCTTCGGGAATTTAGGGCCCAAAATCTAAACCTCTTAACCCTAAGCCAGCCTAACACCATGAGCTCAAAGCCCTTGAGCCCCGAAACCCTGATCCCCAAACCTTCCCAGAGAACCCAATACCCCTTAACTGAGGAATACACTTAAAATCAGAATACTAAGGCCCCTATAATTTAAGGTATATTCCGGAAATTACGGTGTTTTGGGTTCTCTGGGGTAGTCCCTGAACCCAAAAACCCCGAGTCCCTAGACGCCCGAAGGCCCACCTACAATCTCCTTTATAGTTCCCTTTCATGGTTTAACCAATATTAAGGATCCTAAAGGTAACCCCCTAAAGGAACTACGATGGAAACTACCGGCAATCCCCTAACCCTAAACCCTATACGTCCAAACCCAAGCCCCTAAAACCCGCGAAGCCCCAAGCTCAAGCCCCTAAGACCCGGGCACCCCCAAGCCCAAACCCCTAAAACCCTAGAAGCTTTAAGCCGCAAGCCCCTAAAACCCGGGAAGCCCCAAGCTCAAGCCCCTAAAATCCTGAAATCCATAAGCCGCAAGCCCCTAAAACCCTGAAGGCCGCAAGCCCCAAGCCTCCTAAAATCCTGGAAGCCCTAAGCCCGCAAGCCCGAAATCCATAAGCCCCCAAAATCCTGAAAACCATTAGCCGCAAGCCCCTAAAACCCGGGAAGCCCTAGGCCGCAAGCCCCTAAAACCCTGAAAGCCCTAAGCCTCCAGCCCCTAGAAGCAGAAGGACGACCTGGCAGATGGAAATGCCGATGGCCAGGACGACGAAGGCCAAAGTGTAGCCCGAAGCCTTGAACTGGCAGGTTTGGTGTGTTTTTTGTTGGGAGGTTTTGGGGTTTGGGTTTTTTTGGGGGCTTCGGGGGGTTGTAGGTGTGGGTTGGGTGGGTTTAGGGCATTGGAGGTTTAGGGTTTTGGGCTGTGGGTTTAGTCTTTTAAACATATAGGGGTTAAGGATTTGGGCAAGGGGTTTAGGGCTGTAGGCTTATTTATAGGGGTTTGGGTTTTGGGTTCGGGGCTTTCGAGCTTTTAGATTACGGTCTGGGGTTTCAGGGATTTTGGGTTTCCTGTGGTCACCTCAACTTTCGGAAGACTGCGCTTCACCAACACCCTGCCCAACAAGCCCTTGTTAGAGCTAAAGCATCCAACGTTAAGGACCCTAGGGCCTCTATTGAAGGGTGCTTTGGCGGATGCTGGTAGGATTTTAGGTTTCCTGAGTTTTGCGTTTCTGGCTTAGGGGCCCAGATTCTTCGGTCTCTTGTTTCTAGGCTCTGAGGGCTACGGTGAGGAACGTGCGGGCAAAGACTCGCTAGCCGAGGTTCATGGGTGTCCTAACAAAGTCTTGAAAAGCAGGTGAAGGCAAGCATATGAAGCCTGCCGTAAAACCCACCAATCTGATTCCTGAACCCCAAATCCTTGATGCAAAACCGCTTGCTTGAAGTTCGAAACAGTCTGAACCGGAACCCCTACCCCCCCCCTAAAACTTGCACTGCCTGGAACCAAAAACAGACTCACGGCGTGCTGCTTTGCTATGCAGCATATGAATGTGTTGCTATGTGACCTATGTGTGAATACATGCATATATATATATATGCATACAAATAGATAGATATGTGGATATCGAGACAGAAAGATACATAGATATGCAGACAGATGGAAGCGTAGGTATATACACATACAACTCTGTATAAACGACAAATAAACACACAAACAAAGATGGTAATGTGCGTATAGGTTTTTGAGAGATATGGATATAGGTATAGATTTTGTATAAAGATATGTAGGTATATAGCTATATCTGATAAAGATAAACGGATATAGATCGAGATACAGGCATGTAGGTGCATAGGCGTTTAGAGGTCTAAATGATATATAGGTAGGTATACTGTTTAATCCGGACACACACACACACATATATATATATATATATACATATATGTATTTATCTATTTATTTATTTAGTTGTTTATTTATTTATATGTGTATGCTTTATGCACATGCATAATTTTGTAGATGTTTTTACACAGATCTAGGTGTAGACGTACAGATGCATATATACATAGGCCAGTTCCCAGACTCGCTGCCGATTTCTGTGTCAAACCTGCTTACCTGCTAAACCCTAAACCCTAAACTCTAAGCCCCTAAACCCTAAACCCTAAACTCTGAACCCCTAAACCCTAAACCACTAAACCCTAAACCCTAAACCCTAAAAACCGGCAAGGTGAGTCCTTCATGGATCCTGGCAAGTCCGCGGATGGCCGGAAGATGTACTTCCGAACGCTGGATGATTCCATGAGGGCCACTAAGAGGCAAACCCGTCGTCTCCATTGCAATTCCCTTTTTTTGGTTTAGCTAGTTTTATATTACGGCTCCTAGAACGCACCACCCCGAAAAAGGAACTACAATGGAGACAATAGGCAGATTGGAATTGTGCTCAGGGTTAGTTTGCAGTCAGGTCGCTGGACGTTAGGCTGCCTAAACGCGGAACCTAACACTCAGGGGTCGCTGTTGGCAGGGCGTTTGGTCTTCTGTATCAGGTAGGTAGGTAGGTAGATAGGTAGATAGGAAAGTAGATATGTAGGTAGATAGGTAGGTAGATAGGTAGGTAGGTAGGTAGGTAGGTATGTAGGTAGGTAGGTAGCAAGATAGATAGGCAAGTGGATAGCTAGGTGTGTTCGTCGTTGGATAGGATCGGCTGAGCCTGTTCCGAAGGCATTGATGAATCGAAGTGTCCTAGTGACAGCGCGATGATCACTGAGGACCACACGGCAAACTATCACGTAGCAGGCTTGCTTTCCGCGTTCAACAGTCAATGGCATGCAAGACTCGATGAGCAACAGTAGGAACATGAAAAGAAGCACAGCGACTGTCTCACCTTTAGCCTTTTCGGGGTTTAGGGTTAAGAGTGCAGAAGTTTGTTTAATACTTGCATTTCCAGTCTGTGGCTTGCTTTAGATGTCAATGTAGCAACGTTAAAACCAGCAACCCGAGGCTATTATCTAGTGACTTCCTCGTAGAACAAGCGCCGCTGCCGTGCTGAAGCCCTACCTTAAGAACCCAAAACCTACTTTTTTGTAGGGTCCCTATAAATCCCATATTAGAGTTTATAATAAGAAACTACAAAAAAGTGGGTTATGGGTTCTTAAGGTAAACCCTAAACCGGATCTGTCAGCTGAGGAGCAGGGTGTCGTGGACAGTGGTGTCAGTTTGGCTCCTGACGGCGCCCCTGGGCTGCATGGAAAGGAGGTGGCATTAGGGGAGCTCTTGCCAATCAGGATTTCTTTTTGTGGGTTGTTCCGGACCCTCCTGAAGCTCCCATGTGGCTAAAGGTTCGGAATTGTGTTTTACGTCCTACTCCTACCAGGTCCTACCATTAACACTTTTAATACCTTCACTACAAAATATTATTACCACCAATACTCCTACTATTACTACTACCACTACCATCATCACCTTTGCCTTCCGCTCCAACAAACCCTACACCCTGCAGAGGTGTCGCTGTCTTCATTGGGCATCGGCTCAAGCAGTCGTGCTCGATTGACTGGCCCAGAGGTGCCGCAAAAGGTTTCTTCTTGAGTTTGTTCCAGAATCTTTACCGGATTTTACACGGTTTCACAATCCAGATCAGGTTTTAGAAGTTTGTTCTAGAGTGCACTTTTTTGCTGTTCGATATGATGGGTTTCTGTTTTCGAGTTCTTCCCTGGATTTCTATGAGAGTTCCCTCGGGGTTTATGTGTGAGTATAGGGTTGTGGGACTCTGGGTTCAGCATGTTTGGTTGGCGTAGGGCCTGGAGGGTAGGGTTTAGGGTTTAGGGTTTAGGGTTTAGGGTTTAGGGTATTATAGGAGCAAATATAGTTACCAACACTATTTTTTGAAAGTTCTTTATTATAGTTATAGTTTTATCTACCCCCAAACCCTATTCTAATTATTAAGGCCTCTACATTACCCCAGAACCCTAAACCTGAAATCTTTAACCCTAAACCGCGCTTGAGGATGTCAGGATGTTAGGGTCCCGGCATCACCCATGTTATTTCCTGAGACTGCCATACTCAAACAGCTCATGGTTGAGCTTTGGGCCTTCTGCGCAGTGTGCTTTGTGAGGACGGGATTTTTCAATCTGAATACTATGAACACAGGGGTACCCTGATCATTAGGGAGCCACTGGGGAACATAGTAGCACCGATGCTGCACCATCTCACCCTGCCCTGCTCTGCTCTTGCGCGTGCTGCGACGATTTGTTGAAAGAAACACTGCTGCTTGTGTATGAGGGTCGGCCTAACAATTAACCTTTAAAAGGAGCTGGCCCACTACAGTTCTCGGTATCATCCTAAACCCCAGAGCTCTTGTCTAAATACGAAACATCCAGCCCTTGCGGACCCCTAATTGTTACAACTATTCGATTCCTATTATTGTTGTTGCTATTGGTCTTCCTCTTCTTGTTGCTCATCGTTAATATTAGTCGCAATTGTAGTTATTATTGTTTGCTATTATGATTATGATTATTGCTAATATTCTTATTTTATTATTATGGTTGTTCGTACTATCATGTTTTTGAAGGCCCCCCGAAGTTGGTTCTTCAACCCTCAAACCCTAAACCAGGTGCAAGCTGCCGAACCTTCAGAGGCCGTGACTCGGGCGGAGGACACCGCAGCCGGCAGAAAGGCCCCGATTTGCGGCTTTAAGGGTTGTAGGAGTTTCGGGGTTCAGGTGTGTAGGGGTTTCGGGGTTTTGAGTTGAGTGATGTAGGGATTTGGGGTTCAGGGGTTTAGGGCTTTAGGGGTTTAGCGGTTCGGGGGTTCACGGGTTTAGGGGTTTAGGGGTTAGTTAGGGTTTGGAAATTTAGGATTTAAAGTTTAGGGTTCAGTGGGCCAGGGGATGAGGATTTTGGGATGTTGCTCTAGAGGAGCGAGCACCGGATATTTTTTCCTTCAGGAGATCCAAACCAAAGCAGATGTACGTTAAACAACTACTATCCATGGCCATGAGGGTTCATGGGACCAAGTAGCTAGGATTAGAAGTACCCTAAGTGGAGTTATAAGTACAGTTACTTTATTTGTAACAATAGTTACTAGGTTACTAGGTCCCATGAACCTCTAAGTTGGCGGCTTAGGGTTGTTGATGTTTTAGGATCACGGTTTCTACAAGGCGTTGACAAGGGCTTGATAAACAGGTCTGCAGAGTTCTTATTCATGTGGGTAGTTGTCGAAATTATGGTCCCTTTTGGGGTACCCTAAATAATAGGTGCCGTACTATAATAAGGACCCAAAAAGGGACCCTAATTTTGACAACCACCCATATAGAACATCATATCAGGTCAGATCATACCTGATCCGACCCTACTCCAGCACAGCACGGCATAGCTTGTCCTCCACTTATCCGCGGACGGTAAGACGAGAGCTACCGAGGCGTGGGGCAGTTGTATGGGGCTTCCAAAATCCCACAGACTTTCTCGTGACCCAACCTAAACCCTAAACCCTAAACCCTAAGCCCTAAACCGACGCAAGACCGTGCGAGCTCACACGATCAACCCTAGCCCTAAACCCTGTAAAGCAAGAATAAGACTGCCGTGCCGTGCTTGGAGGATCATGGGACTTAGTAAGTAAGATTATAACTACCTTAATTGGGGTTATAGTTTATTATACGTATCGTTACCTTATTTATAACCCTATAGTTACTAAGTCCCATGATCTTCCAAAGGGGCATTGTTGGGGGAGGGATCCCCCTGATGCAAACGAAGCATCCGTAGCGAAGCCCTCAGGTTCGTAGATCCTACTTTCAGCTCTTAGCCGTAGGTCCCAGACCCTACTTTACAGAGAGGTTCATGGGAGCTAGAAACTATTGTTATAAATACGGGAACTATACCTTAGACTGCGGATAACTCCATTTTTGGACTTATAACCCTTATTACTACGTCCCAAACCCCTAAACCCTTAACCCTAACCCTAGTTACTCAGTCCCATGAACCCCCAAGTAAGCCCTAAACCCTAAACCCCAATCCCAAAAGATCCCTTATGGAACCCTTTAAGGAAGCCGTTTAGCTACTAAGTCCCATGAATCCGCCCGAGCCTGAAGCCCTCAAAGAACTAACCAAAGCCCCTAAAGCGTCGAACTCCTGAACCTTAGGTTTATTGGGTTTAGGGTGTAGGGTTCAGGATGATTTAGGGTTTACGGTTTAGGGTTCAGGATGCTTTAGGGTTTAGGGTTTAGGATGATTTAGGGATTAGGGTGTGCGGTGCAGGCTGATTTAGGGTTAACCGTGATAAAACCTGTAAAACGCTCTGAAATTGTCTGGACAGAAGCCTAGGGAATCCTGAAAGCGCCCTGCACATTCCAATAACCAAAACGACCAAATGGCGCACAGCCTTGAACCCCAAGCCCTAAACCCTAAACCCTAAAGGATCTCGGGCTTAGGATTTAGGGTTTATATAGGGCTTAAAACCCGAAAGCCTAAAGCCCTAAACATCCCGAAGCCAGGCGCCGTGCGCCGGCAGCTCTGGCGCCGCGCAGCGAAACCTGCGCCGAGCCCGGCGCCGCGCAGCGCGGCGCGGGGAGGCGCCCAGGGGATGGCTGTCCCTAGGGTTTAGGGTTTAGGGTTTAGGGTTTAGTGGTTTTGGGTTTCCCTAAGGGTCCATGTACCCAAATAGTAGAACATTGGCCCTAAAGTACCCATATAGGGACTACATTAAGGCCAATGTTCTACTATTTGGGTACATGGACCCTTAGGGACAGGCGCCTTTGTAATTCCAGGTTGTTCGGCAACACATGTTTTATCTTTTTAATGTCCCAATGGGCACTTTAACAGAAAAGAAATTGAATGTGGCTTTTCGGGGGACATGTTACAATAGTTATAGTGTAATCGTTCAACCACTAAAGGAAATGCTGCTACTAGTTGTACTTTCGTTGCATTGTAGGAGCATAGCAACAATAATGGTAAGTAGTAGTAGTAGTAGTAGTAGTAGTAGTAGTAGTAGCAGTAGCCGTAGTAGCCATCGTCGTCATGGTAGTGATCCTAAGCATGACACTAACGATATCATGAGCAAAGTATAATGATAGAGTGTATGTAACGACAAGTGGAGTTATCCCGAATACGAGCTCGACTTGGAGGCTACTTGTTCATCCCCCGGGCTTCGATTTTCAGAAACCCTGCACCCGGCCAAGTAAGATTTGGGGTAGCACTCCACCGCCCGAATAAGACCTCAAAACCTAAACCCTAAACCCCTAAACACCAAACCCTGAACCCAAAAGTCACAGCCCCAGGAAAAAAAAAACAGAAGTCCGAAACAGGGTTTTGGTGTATGTTATACCATGACTATAATAAGGAACTCCCAAAATAGTATAGGTATTATTGAGTCCCCTATATTAGGGAACCCATTGGCAGGTGCCAGGAACCGACCCAGAGCCTGGAGGTTGACCCTTTGCTTGGCAGAGATCTGAATGATTTATCGCACGATCCCCTGTAAGCGTCCGTTTAAGTTGTTTCACGTCTCCTTTTAAAGTTTAATCTGGTTTTCGGAATCATTGGTGAGAATCGCCCCTTGTAGTCGCGTAGAAAAGGCCTCTTTGTTACATACCCCGAAACCCTCCTGTTCCCGTTAGTCAGGCCTCTTTGTTTACGGCCTCTGGCCTTAGGAGATTCCTGAAAGGATCAGGGTTTTTTATTGGGGGATGTTTCCCTTAAACCCTATATAAACCCTAAACCCTACACCGGTTTGGGTTTCGGGAGTATCCGGGTGTTTCAGGGTTTTCCGGGTTTGTGGGGGCCTCACCGAAGTTCTCGAAAGAGTTCGAAGATCCAGTTGTCCAGTTATTGGGTTCGCTTGAAACACAGGCAGCCTCGCGATGGTGAGCGTAGGTTTAGACTGCAGTGTTTATAGTACGCTTGGGTAGGTATAGGGTTTGGGGTGCAGGGCTTAGCTTTAGGGTTTGGGTTTAGTAAAGTTGTCCGCACTTGTCTTGTGATTCTAAACGTCTGACAAGCTAGTTATTGAATCCCTAAACCCTAAACCCTAAACCCCGCAGTCCTGCAATGTAGACCCCAAACAGTAGGGAATTGGCTGATGTGAGGAGCCTCCAGAAGGTATTGGAACCCGAGCCCTGAGCCCCAACCTACCCTGTACTCAAGGCCTCGTACAAAGTAGCCTTCAAGCCGAAGAAGAAGTAGTAGTAGTAGTAGTAGTAGTAGCAGCAGCAGGAGCAGTAGCAGTAGTAGTAGCAGTAGCACTAGCACTAGCACCAGCAGCAGCACTAGCGGTAGCAGTAGCAGTAGCACATATAGCAGTGGTAGTAGTAGGCGTCGCTTAGTAGTACTGGTAATAGCAACGGTCGTAATTCGGTGGTGGCAGTCGTAGACGTAGACATCATGAGAGCTCAGGCATAGTGCTCATCCGGGACGACTGTCGCTTGCACGACAATCCTGCACTGCACACGGCCGCTACGATGCACCCTTGGGTGGTGCCTTGGCAGTGTTTGGAGCTTGGGGCTTGGGCTGTGTACTCTGTTTGTCCATACAGCCGTTGCACACTCCTACCTTTAATCCTAGAGTTTGCAATCCCCAGCTCGAGACCTGTATTACCAAACCCCTAAACACGACACCCTAAATCCTGTGGGACATACTGCGCGAGGTTCCCCTATATGTGCACGACGACGCAGATCCCTCCCCGTGGCCGGTGCGCGGCGCTGGCTTGTGGTGGCGTCACGTAGCTGGGCTCAACACACTCGGGGCCCTTGCGTCCAGGTGTGTGCGTTGGGAACGACATGTTCCTTGAAAGAGCCTTGAGTCATTGAGGACGACATGTCCCCTAATTTTATGTTTTCATAGTATAAGGGTATAAATAAAGTAGGAGCCTTAATAATTAGAACAGGGTTTGGGGGCCCATTCTGCTATAGTCATAATAAGGAACCCCCCAAAGTAGTATTGTTAATTATTTAGGCCCCTACATTTATAAACCCATACAAACCCTAAACCCTAAACTTCAAACAGTAATATCAATAATATATATATATATGTATATATATATATATATATATGTTAAGTGTGTATATATATATATATCTATATATATATATATTTGCATTTGCATTTGATTGCTGTCAGAGCAGTACGCAGCCTAATTAAAATGCACACGAAACCTCTGACTGCCAGTATGCACTAGCCGATGTTAGACACAAGCTGAGCAGAAATCTGGCATGTCAGGGTTAAGGCAGGGAAGGCAAACCGCTATAGACCCGGCCAGCTGCACAACAGCACGTAAAAACCGTAAGCGGTTAAGCCACATCCTGCCACAAAACCAAACTAACTACTTCGCTCAGCGTGG